GTCGCCGTTAACGAGCTGCGTATCATCAGGTACGGGTATTAATTTGTTTGGGAGTCTGGTTCTAACAGATATTGTAATTATGGAGTGTTTGAAGTTCACGTTGCTTGTCTCGCATAGCAGCCTATGTCTCCCCCTGCAAATCCGATATCTAGCCCAGGCGGATTTGGACGCCTCGTTTGGCAGCCCTTGCACGTCATGCCTTGAAAATTGCATACTAGTTAGACGAACAGCCAGCTTAAGACAAAACAAAAGTTCGCATCTCAATCCCTGTTGGCCATGTGCCGTTCTCGTGCGTGGCACGAGCGCGAGCGAAACGCGCCAACCGTTTTCGAAAACTTATTACAGTACAAGAACAGGCTGTGAGCAGCTCTACAAATCTCACCGCAAGTTTCATGTTCATTCGCCTTGAAAAACAATCTTATGAAGCAATGGCTAATTGGCCATGTCCAGTTCAATTGACGACTGTTGGCCTTTTTCATAATTGCTTGATATTTGCTGAGCTGCACTGGACGTTCAACACGCTCTGGTGGTATTTTCTTTTGGTGTTCTCAAAGATGTATGTACCTCAGTTGGGTCCCATCCAGCTTGAAATTTGATGGGTACCATGATTGCACTTATCAACGCCCGCAGATCATGCAAGGCATGCACCCTCTACTTGGATAGGGAAGCCACAAGACACTATTCGAACCCCTCCATTCCAACTTCCCGGTGAGACATTTGTCATTCTGCTCGTCATTGCACACCGAAACATTGATGTCTAGAAGCACTATTCAGGTGATAATGACATGGTGATTCAATAGTTCCGAGCTTGGATGTTGTTGAAATGAGCATGAGATCGCTATTGTCATTACGAATGAACGGAATGGAGAAACTGGAGTTCAGTGACTAGTGCAAGGTTTGTTATCAGGGAAACATATCATGATCTCAGGAGAGCTTCTGTCCAAGTTCTCGATGAGGGGTTGCACAGCCCCAACCTACCTAAGTAGCTAGCACAACCAAACAGATAGCTGCGGATGACATGCAGCAAGGCACGCAGGCAGCTGCATGCACCCCTTTGTTGACCATTTCTTTGGCTGATGGTCATGTAGCCGTGATAATGTACATCATTGCCGGAATCGGCGTGTTTTGGCCCAGAATCACATAAAGGAGAAGTTCCAATATCGCGGGGAAGTTGGGAATTCGCAGCGCAATCATGGCAGCCTGGCACCTGATGTTCTTCCAGATAATTCTGGTAGGCAAGGGATGCAGGTGAAGGAGATTAGCCCGGCGTTAAACTCTCATTGGTTCGACTATGACTGACCGGTCTTCATGATCTGCCTGAAGTGCGGGGATCCGGCGTGTACGCCGTTCCACAAGCGGTTGCTCTATGCGGGACGGCAACCTGCAAGCAGTGCTTATCACCCTTGAAGAGGGAAAGGGCGTAACGGGCTCTTCCGACTTGCCGCGATTGGCCTACAGTTGTCCAACAAGTACCAACTGCTGCACTTCTAAGCTTCGGTATGGCGTGCTTTCGAATACCAGAGATTCAGTGGAATGGATGTGCATATCAGATCATCAAGGTTACAAATGTTGAGCAAGTTTCGAGATATCACATGTGTGGGCCAACGAAGTTTGAGTGAGTAGGTTGCCTCGAAGCATTGGAGGAAGTAGGCTATTTGAGACGTCCAATTACGTAGGCACGTGGTATGGTGTTAGGTTATAGAGGGATGTCAGGTTCACCCAATTGCCATCTCAAGATATGATAACATTGCGGTTCTGGTCAGCTTAATACTGTTGAAGAAGCCAGGAGTATTTTGGATTCAATATGGGCGAAGTATAGAAAAGCGACCATCATAATGATGGGATTTCTGCACATTCCTGGACTGCTCATCTAGACTGGATTGGTGAAGCTCAACATCGATGTGCACATCTCATCAGAGACGCACGGGCAAGAGGATGTGCATCTCGAGGTATTGCCACACCGAGATCGTTGAGAACGATTCAGGCTGTAAATTGGCCACTCTGTCTCTTGAGTCGCTGCATCTTGCCTAGCCCTGCCTTCTTCAGACTGATCATGTCTTCGTGAAGAGCCTTACGACATGGTGATCGGATTTCAGAACGAATATTTTACGTCACGTAGGAAAGAGTAGTGTAAGGCAACTACACTGGCGAAGGGAACGGTAGGTATCCGGGCAACCTTTCCCGTAGAATGGCAGATATGCTTCCGAGATAATCTGCAATTCCAAGCGGTGTGGCTGATCTCTTGGCATTCAATGTAGTACAGATAGCATCCGAGCTACAACACCAACAGGAGGGGATTGGGGTAGCAAAATCCATCCCCGCGCCAAGGAATTGTATATAAGATGAGAACATCTCATGTGCACATATGTGCCCAGAAATCAATTCGAGACCAGGCTAAGACCGGGCTGCCGGTCTGCCAGGCTGGAGAGCAGCTGCATAAGGTGCCCAGGATAATGCCACGGGCATACTCACGGTTCAACAACAGGATCGCGCATGGCACCACGATCGCGAACACATGCCAGATCTAGGCAGGTTTGACTCACAACCTTCTTTTTTTTCATCCTGGGGTAGAAAGTCGGAAAAAGGAGCAGGACGTGCCGGTCAAGCAACTCAACGGGGCGTCTATGACTCCGAGAGCTGCCCCTTATGGTGCGGAATATTGCATATTGGTGACACGTATTTGTTTCGTTCAAGAAGCTTCGAATTAAAGCGTAGCACATTTTGAAGTTCCCGATGCATTCCTTTGTTGGTGTGGTGTGGAAGAGCAGGCTACGGCTTAGGGTACCACTAGGAGCGCCTCGCTGCCTCGGGTACTCGCACCGTCCGCCGACTTTTGGCGACCAGCCTTCATTTGAATATGGGTTTGAGATGGGAATGAGTTTTGACGCCTGGTACTACAGAAAATTTTCAGAAACATTAGATGTTCTATAGAGAAATGGTAGGTTGCATGGATAAGGATCCAACGGTCCATTTTTGAAGAATTGGTAGGGTCCGTTGGAACCCAGTAATGATTTGTTTATACCAGTTCATCATGATGTATCGTCCGCTATCTATGAGCTTCTGAAGAGAAAGTAATGGAAAGACTCTACATGGCGAAGACAGGAAACGTCCGATGGCTTCGAGTGTTCTCGAAGAGTTCAAGTTGAAGTTCGAGTTCACCAATAGGTAAACTTTGAATTATTCTATGGGCATATCAGTTTAGTTGAAAGATACACATCGCTTCCTCACGTCTTACTTGCATTCGAAAGCATATCTTGGTAGATTTCCCATGTCTCATGAGCCTTAAAACAAAATGTATGAAACACAAGTTCTGTCCAGAAACCATTGTTTCTGAAGGTGTAATTAGCATGACTGCATGAAAACTTGATGTACGTAGGTATCGAAATGTCTCAGGCTTTTGCAATGTCTCAGAAAAGGATTTCAGTGTATCCAAGCACTGGTTTATCAGACAATACAGTCAACACCATAGCGAAGTGCTTGAATACAGACAGCGTAGGAAACTAGTTTGTGGGTGGAAAGTTTCAAATTCTGATAGGAAAAGAATGAAAAGAAGACCAAGCATCAGAGAGTCTTTACTATCTATGTTCAGAAAACAATCACGTGTTGGCCAAACTCACGCGTGTCCGATCTGCAAACATGTACAATGCAGAGTTGCAAGCTCAATACTGTAGCAGCATATCTAGTTTCAAAGAATTCTAGTTTTGAAATGTTTACGAAGATTACGCAAGATATCGAAAGGGAAAAAAGAGATTGAGCTAAACTTCAGATTTCTCCATGGAGGGTCGAGGCTCTGATGAGAAATCCAGATTGCAGATGAGCTATTCTACGCTCCTAACACTCGAAGTTGTTACCATAGGAACTTGATTTGAATGCGATCAATTAGGAAGCGATCTTTCTGCTAGACAGTTGACTTAGCTCATATGCCTTAATCAAGGACAGTCTGCGATACCCTTAGTGGAAGAAGACAAAATATTGATAAAGGCGCCGGGGAAAGTTCTTTGTTTCGGAAGTCTATCGTTCAGTAACCAGTGTTGCGAAATTCGAGAGCTCAAAGACTTTTGCATACTCAAATGATGTCAACTTGTCAAGTTTGCCAGCTCGTTCCATAACGAAGACCCACAAACGCCAAGTTTACGACTAGAAAACTTCCCTGTGCCAAAGCACACCTAGAAGAGCATTTTGATCTACTACTGAGCTTGCTCGATCTTTGAAAAAGGGTTCCCAAAAGTGGTACTCATCGGTGAAATAGCTTGACCATTACGACGGCATAGATGAGGAACAGGCGTGTGTTGAGTGGACAGTGTTGGTGTCTTACAACGGCAACAGGTTGAAATCAGTTCTTATATGTCTCAACTCCTACTCAACCCCAAATACCTGAGTTTGAGTATCGCTAGAGATCAGAAAGCGTCATACAGTTTTCGTATTTGGCAAATGGCTCCATCTGGAGGCTTCAGATGAGATGGTGCTTACTTGTGCTAAATCGTTGTCAAGCTTCTTTCATTCAGTATCGCTTATTGAAGTCCACTAAGATACCATATCCTGCGCCGGTATTTCACAACAAAGTGCTTTCTCAACGTCTTGCCATCATCGAAATCTCCACGTCTCAAGGCAATTGAAAAAGAGACAACCGTCTTTCGACAAGCCGGTTCTTTTACATTTTCATGCACCCGGGAAAGAGACCAAGGAGCCTGAGGTAGCTCACATCACACGGTCGAGCACGATTAGTCGGCACCTGTGACCTCTGGATGGACGACGGGCTCCCGCCCTGAATATATTAACAGGGAAAAGAGTAGCCAGTACACCCTTATTGCTGCCACGAGGAAAACCAGGAACACGAGACCTGCCTCGAGTTTCCTCTCTTAGCCTCATTGCTTCTTTCCTCCACCATATCGTTAAAACTACTTCTTCTTCCACCCACAAATTCCCCATCCCACGAAAAGCCATCGAAATTATCATCGCGGACTCGGAGCAAACCAACAATCACAGATCCATCGAAGAAGATGATTATTGAGAGCGAGGAGGATGAGAACATCGCTCTCGCAGCGGAAGGAAGAGCGAAAATTGTCGAAGGAAAGTTCAGGGAACTGAACATCCCTCGCAAATTCGACTACGAACATGTCAAGGCTGCGAGAGCAAATACAATGGCGAGATCACTGATCCACGAGGGCCGCGATTCCGTTTCGACTGCATGGTTCGCCTGGTATGTGGACTTTAATGTATGGAGCTACATCCATGAGAAGTGTGAGTACTACCGCGGCGATCCTCGTACATCCAGCCCAGAACGCTTTGCTAACGTTCTCCGAACGGCATTTTAGTCGCTCGGAACGGTGATCGCGAGACGTTCCCGTGGATCGACCTCGAACCGGCCGTGAAGCCCAAGACCCCCGAAGACGCCTCTGCCTGGTTCAACGGCTTGAAGGACGCCATCAAGCAAAAGTACGACCTTTCTGCCTTGGAGCGGAAGAAGCTGGGTCTTACCTTGATGAGGCCGGAAGATTACCTCGTGCGTGACACGGACGAAGTCGCTGCGCGTTTGCGTGAAGATACTTGGAACAACGTCTTCCCCGGAAGAGTGCCACCCCACGGCAAGGCCTTTGAAGTCATCGTCCCCTCTGCCGTCAAGGCGTTCTCGGATCTGAAATGGGACGTAACACAAGGAGCACATCTTGTACCAGCTACAGTCAGCATTTCCACAGTCGGACGAGTCCACCGCCGCGGCCACTTTGTTATGGCGCTTGTTCTCGGTTACAGTCCCGGTGTCATCGACGACCCGGAGAACAGATTGATTCTGGCCAAGACGTACGATGCCGTCTTAAAATGGGCCACAACGATCATCATCACTGGCAGAAGCATGAAGCTCACCAGAGCTTTGAAGAACTTCGTCCTGCCGGGGGCTCAACTACAAGCTGAAGGAGAGGATACGATCATGGGAGGCATGGAAGACCAGACGGAGGAGCTCACACAGGAACAGCTCGAACTTTGCGCCGAGGAGTTTGATGTGGTGCCGTTGACCTCCATCCCGGACTACGCTGTCTTCCGGGTGAGCGAATGGCTTCACTGGGAGGTTGGTCGCACGTCGGCAGAGGATCGGTGCCGATTGCTCCGGGGTTGGTGCCAGCTTGAGGATGGCAAGTATCATCAAAACCTCGAGGGAATGACCCGAGAGGACTTGCAGAAGGCTTGTCATGAAGCATGGATGGAGAAGACACATAACTGGAAGGAAACACTTGATATTACGGTGTGGTCGTGGACTGAGGAGGTATATTGGGCGAAGAAGATTGCGGAGCCGTTCGATTCTTGAGCGAGGTGGTAAACGAATGACGGAAAGGGATCATGGTACTTTTGCCCGTCTTTCTACTCATGGCACACTGTTGAGTTCTGAGCAACGGCGAAAGGGGCAGCGGATAAGCTGAAGTGTGGAATCATGAAGGTCGTTTTGTATTCAGTATTGTATCAATCATGTCTATTATTCACCAAACCACGCTCTCCATCCATTTTCTTTTTTCACAAAAAGCCGCCGCACCTCAGATGACATTCTTCAACGACTGACTAGCACGGAACCGCCTCAAGTTATACGCAATCAACGCCTCCGCGCCCTGCGGCCTTCCACCAGCAGCGTGCGGCGACACAACAACATTCGGCGCTTTCCACAGCCGGCTGGACTCAGGCAACGGCTCCGTAACAAACACATCCAGCGCCGCACCGCCGACCTCGCCCGCCTCGAGCGCATCCACGAGCGCCTCCTCGTCAATGGACGTGCCGCGGCCGACGTTGACGATCCACGCGTGCTTGGGCAGCTGCTTGAGGCGCGCGGCATTCAAGGCGTTCTTGGTAGACTCGGACCCGGGCAGGATCATGACGAGGGCGTCCGTCTCGGGGAGCAGCTCGGCGAGCTTGTCCTCGCCGTAGACCTCGACGCCGTCGCGGATGCCCGCGTTGCGCGCGACGCCCTTGACCTGGGCGCCGAGGCCCCGGAGGTGCGGGGTGAGCGACTTGGCAATGTTGCCGAAGCCCCAGATGAGCACGCGGGCGTCGCGGAGGGTGGTGAAGGCATTGGCGGGGCGGTCGGGCTGGGGGCCGCCGAGGTGGCCAGGCCACTTGGACTGGAGCTGGTAGTCGCGCATCTCGTAGAAGCGGCGGGCGGCGTTGAGGAGGAGGCCGAGGGCGTGCTCTGCGACGGTGTGGTCGTGGAGGCCTGATCCCGTGGTGACTGTGACCTTGGAGGTGTCGAAGCCGGCGGAGAGGACGTCGTTGGGTCCGGCGGCGAGGGACTGGATCCACTTGATGTTCTTGAGGCGGGCGGCGGCGTCCTTGAGGTTGTCGGCTGAGTTTGTCCAGGTGACGAGGATCTCGGCGTCTGTGTGCTCCTCGGGGATGGTGGTCTTTACGTCGTAGGGGACGAGGTCGACGGAGAAGCCCTGGAGGCTGTCGACGTCGAGCTTGAGGGAGGTGGGGTAGAGGAGCTTCATGGTTGTGACGTGTGTGTTGATGGTTTATGAGATCTAGAGGTTTGGTATGTTAGTGATTTTGGTCCCCAATTGGAAGCTTGGGGAAGCACCGGAGGCTCTTACATTATGAGAGGTATGAGAGGAGAATCTGAATACTGAAGAGATCGTGAAGAAACATCAGAGAAACGAGAGCATCTGGAAGAAAAAGAGCGAGGGGTCACGTCTGGTTTTACCTAACCTCGGGGCAAGGCATACCGATGACGGAGAGACCGCGATCCAATAAAACACAATGCGCGCGACAGCTTTCGTGTAAGCGGGGGTAAATGGATATTCCATGGAATGAACGGGCTGGATGGGTGGGATGGTGGGGGAACAGCACCAGATCCGCACCAAGTTCCCACTCGACGACATCAATAACGAAGCCATCCGGCTTGTCGTTGGCGTCGTCAAGGTGGGGGAGGGGGCGGGGGAGGGGAAAGAACCCCGAACTTGGCTTGCTGACATGATCCCAGCAGCCATTTGCGTGATGGCAACTCATAATAGCCCCTCTATTAGAGAAAGTAGAAACTCCCCAGAGCCCCCAAATTTACCCAGATGGTCCAAGATCCAAACTAAAGTAGCGCATTGCATGTACACAGTACTGACTCGTCTCATAAACCCGCAACTTTCTGCGTAGCAACACGTGTAGACGTGGAGTTGAGTTCGGAGAAATTTGCTACTATTGGACGAAAGCGTGACCATTTGTCAATTTGGACCAACGCGCCCGGGTTTCAGCGGCTATTGAGCGGCATAAACACCGATAGTTGCGGCAACTCACCGGATACTTTACCGTTCCATATCCGCCCGGCGAAACGCCTCTTGAAAGTTGGGGGTTAACCAGGGAAGCTGGCTCTTTTTTGGGATGACATTGTTTGGTCGTGTGATTTGCGAGTGCTCTGAATCTTATCCTGGCCATCGAAAAGTCAACTCTAGATTCCCTTACGGCGTTTGATCGAATTTCTGATTGCCGTTACTCTTTTGACGTCTCCAACGAGTTTCGGAGAACTTTCTGCAATACCCCAAACTTGGACAAAGGCCTTGGCAATGGCTTTCGCTTCGGCCCCGAAAGCTTGAACAACCATCAAGATTTCCTGGTTTAAATGGCTTGGGTTGATAGCCGAATTCCGACATGCGCGATGATGCACTACATTCAGTCAGATCCAATGTCACCTAGCTTCTTAGCCCCGCGGAATCAGGTGGGGTATTGTCTCCATCAATCGCCTGCTCCATATGAGGAAGAAACTCAAAGGTGGACGAGCAATACCCATCGAAGTACTTACAAGCTAGGTTTCTAAATCTCGGTTTGAAAACGAGTGCGAGATACTCCGAGGTTTACTTTTAGTTGGTGCTCGTAGCCACTGATACTAAGGAACGACATGAAACTTCAGCTTTAAGTCTCATCGTGGACTCAATTGCTGCATCGAGTCCATTCCCCAACGAACCTGTATCATTGAAGTTATCAGCAAAGTCTCGGTGACTGAGTTTTCTGCCACTCGCCGAGCCTCTCGGAGGAGCTCAGGTGATTATTACCACAGACATCCCTCGCCAAGGTAACAAAACAATCAATCGAAGTCGGCCTAGCAAAAGATTACCCAATGTTTGCGAAGCTTGCATTCTTTGGCCAGAATCATTCCTCTCAGCGAAGACGAAGGTGAAGAGTAAGTCGAACACCTTTCCCTTCAAGGCTGATTTCCTACACGTAATTACATCAATCCTAATTTCAAATATTTTTCGAACGGCTATCATCGCAGCAATTTTTCCCAGCCAGTCTTTAATGAGCTCCGTGGCGTAAACCTTGGAAAAGGATGGGCTTCCGTGTTGAAGACGACCTCTGTTAGTGGCATATAGTCTGTCGGCGAGAACAGCAAATACAAATACTTCAAAGTCTCAGCCTGCAGTCAGAAACGTCAGCTCAAAGTCTGCTTTGCATGTCGCTTTATCTTTCGACCACTTGATATATCACTTACCAGCCAGAAACTCTCCATATTATCCCTCGTCGCCGCGGGCACCGTCCGCACATCATTTAGACTGGTGTAACCCTCCCCGTCAGGCACTAGAGCATGCTTCTGAAACGACTGGAAAATCTTCCAGCCCCATTCTCGGTACATGGCGTTGCCAGTGATGCGGTACATCATGAACAGACTCTCTACCGTCTCGGGTCTTTGCAGGTTGTGAGCGTCTAGAGGCTTGATAATGAAGTCCTTTTTCCATTTTGACAGCGCTAAACGCTCCATTAGCACAAGAGTTCTTTGATTGGAAAGATGGGAAGAAAGACGGCAACGCACCGTTACTTTCTTTCCGCAACCATCTGTCGCCGGGTCCGGGCTGAAGGTCTGCTTCCGTGGCGTTGAACCACGCAATCTCAGGGGCGAGGCCGGTGTCGGTGACGGCGTACATGCCCCAGCAGGTATTCATGATCTCTATCGCAAGCTCGATGTCGTCTTCATGCTGAGGCGTCCAGCCCGGGTCACGACGCGCTTCCGCAAGAGGCCGCCCTTCTGTTGCCTGTCATGGTAGGGTTCAGTCGGTTGTTTCCCTAGAAAATGACACAACGAGAGGCTTGAGAAACTCACAGCCATGGCGATTGTGCCTGGGAGAAAGCAGACGAGATGGTCCATCTTTGGAGAGAGCGGCCCTCCCACGCCGGTGGGAAGCTCCGCCACGAACTTCAGTGCTGCGTTTCGCGTTGTCGTGACGAGGTGTTTCGCAATGCCACCCAAGGCATCTTCCCACATATCACGATATATGACTTCGCCTGTTTGAAGGTACTGCTTCGCCAGGTACTCTACGCGGCGTCAGTCATAGGGTCAGCGCGTAAGGGGGGCTTGATCCTACCATAGTACGAGTCACCTCGACTTCCGAGCCGGATCTCCCTGGTTGTGAAGAGCCCGTGGCTGGGATGCACGAAAATGGGCAGTAGACCACCCTCCATCTTCTGGTCATCCAGAACTTTCATCACGCGCTCTGCCTTTTTCCAGTAAATATCATTCCCAGTCAACTGAGAAAGGTACTTCATTTCAAGCTGCACAGTGGCAGCCTCAGCCGTGGACGAAGCCCCGCCGTCCGCATGCGATGCAATCCCCTCCCTCTTGCCGATATTGACGCTCGCAAGAGGGATCCCAAAGTTTGAGTCGAACGCCACCAAGAGCCGGTCCGCCAGATCGATCGCCTTGGAGAGGTAGAGGGAGTCTCTTTTGGACGCGACGTGCGGCAGCTGGGTTGAGAGGTAGTGTGCTGAGAGGAGGCCGCCCAGCATACGGATCGTCGTCTCAAAGGTGTTTACGTCTTGGTCTTGGTCCCAAGTGAGGCTGCGGTGCAACCATCTCCGGGCGTCAGCGAGGGGCTGTGTCAGATTCATGAGCATCATGGTGTCTATGCTATCGACTATGATCCAGCCTAGGCCCTTGGGAGACATGTTTTCTCCTCTCTTGGATAGAGGATGGAAGACATCGTTGCCTTGAAAAAGTTGGCGTGTTAGTTGCATTTGGGCAACGGGCGGCTTGATACAAGGGGCATCTTACCCCAAGCGTGTTTCTTGTAAGCAGTCCAGCTCGTCAGGAACACATCTCTCACTTCCTCTCTTCTATCATCCCAGTCGGTAAATTGGGCTTGTGGGCTGTATTGCATGTGTCCCAGAGCATGATCAAAGAAATATCCTCTAAGGCATGCGACAAGAACTCCAGAGACAAATATGCCAATGAGGACATTGCGTATCCTCCGTCTCAGTGAATTCTTCTTCTCGCTGGACAAGTGCATAGCAAGCTGAGAATCACGGGAGGCCGAACCGGCGGCCTTGGATCGCGTGGGTGAGTGCCGACCTCGTCGGTTCGGTGAGGTGCCCATCGTGGTGTTTTCGCTACGGTAAATGAGTGTGATGAATACAGAACTAGAATTGGCAGTCACTCCCAAGACGCAATGAAGAGGAAATGAACTCAATGAAAAAGAATCAGAGGAATGGATATGTTCTCCCATTCAGGAACAATAATCAGAAGCGCCAGCGCTTAGCGCCCTCGGGCCTGGCCTGCACGCTGTGGAAGAGGTACCCGACGAGCCATCATGCAGAGGCAAGAACAACCAACGGGCGGTAATTGCAACTAGGTACCTTAGGTGCCAAGGATGCAAGACGTAGTTTCCTCAAGTTTTCGCTTTCGGACATGGGAAGGAGCAATCAAGCACCTTCCCTTTCAATTGGATACCAAAGAGTTGGTAACGGCCTGATTGAATCTTGGCATCGCAAGATCTCGAGATGTCATTCGCCTGGGTTCCACAAAACTGCACGATGTTGGAACTCGTTACTCGGGGGTTCTTTCCATCTTTGGGGCCTGTTTTCTCGAGATACGCAAGCGCTGGACATTGTCTCCAGAGTCCACCTCAGGCCTGGCCAACTTATGGCTCTCATTCACAACCTGGAATGCAGGCAAACAGGCACCCCCGGTTGTCTAAACGTGGGAATTGAATTCGGGAACCAACAAAGAAAGACACCACAATCTTGTAGGGCCTCACCATGTAGACTGATGCAAGAATACCAGCATGCCGGGTCCACCCGTTTGAAAGACAAGGGCGCCTTGAATCTACAGCATTGGCAACAGATAGATCAGCTTCGCCTTCTTCGAGTCCCCTGGATCAAAGGCCTTAGCAAATTCATCGTCTTTCCCTTCTCATCATCACTACTTGATCTCATGGCTATTATGGCTTGGAGGCTTCGTTGACAATGGCGATAGCATATCCCGCTGAGACAGACGAGAACGGTACAGTCACGTCCTTCATTGCGCTCCCGACCGCCTTCACACCACCGACAAGCTGTTCTACCATCTATCGTCTTAACGGCTTCTCTCTCGCGGCGTATGACCCAGGTTACGGTATCGACATTGACACCAGAGTGCGATGTGCCCCACCAGCCGTCACAACGTGGTGGGAGCAAGGACGTCTCGGTCTCAACGACGGCGAGGGCCATACCGCTGTTAGTATCGGGCCTCTGGTATGTCCTGAGCGCTGAGTGACGGTTGCGACGTCCGTCAAGAACGATACGAGCAGTACACTTGCCATGTGCTGCCCACAGTGAGTGTCGCTGATGACCGAGAGTTTCTCGGTACATGAGTGATCGTTGCTGATTAGTCGTCATAGAGACTACACTCTGATCAGAGGTATTGCCGGGTCGGTTGAAGGAGACTGCCGTTCGGATCTCCTGTCTGGAGCGGTGATAACCTATGCATCGACATCCGCTCCGGATACTTCAAGCTGGACAATGGTGACGTCAACCCTCACCCAGCTAGGTTTTGTTGGTGCCATCGCAGTGCTGGGTTGGAATATCGAGGAGACAGCAGCCACTTCAACAGCAAGAGTCACCGTCACTGACGCAACTGCAACACCCACAAACGCAGTCAACGTCAACACCCCCGCCCTGCCTCGAGAAACTGCATCTACCACGACACTTTCACCCTCGGGAGCAACGTCGACGCCCGAGTCCGTAGGCCTCCCGTTGCCGACCGCCATTGGAATCGGCGTAGGTGCTGCGGTAGGGGTCATCGCGCTGGCTATCCTCGGGTTCTTCCTATGGCGTAAGAAGCGCAAGCAGCAGCGAAGGGCAGGAGAAACTGTGCCAGTCGTCGAAGAATACCATGCGAGGCCTCTTGAGCCGGATAAATCCATGTCTCCTGCGCCGCGGTATCACGAGCTTTACGCACACCAGCATGATGGGAATCGTCAAGAGGTGACAGAGCTGCCTGTTCCGCAGTACTATGCTGAGCTGGATGGGAGTAGCCCGGCGTCAAGGTTAACTAGTTTAGGCCGGGTCGGAAGGTGAAAATGTTGTGCTTGAACAGGAGCATGACGAGCCGAGGGGCTGGGGAAGGGATGATGGACTTGTTTCCTTTCAAGATACCTGCGGCACTGCGGACAATTCGTCTATTAGGAGTGTTTGTAATGTGTATATGATGCTAGAAATACCTCGAATCTATTGTAATAGTTGAAATGTGGCTTCTACTTATGAACATCAAACACAATACCGGTCACAACCCCAGCTTCGTCAACTCGCTCTCCAGACTCACCCTCCACGCCTTCGCCTTCTCCCCCTTTCCTCTAGGACAAACCTCACAGATCGCCCTCGTAAAGTTCGCGACCTTCTGCACCGTCTCCTGAACGCCCTTGTAAGGCCATCCAGCCACAACCTCCCCTTCGATCCCCTTCTCCCGACATATTTCCCTCGCCCACCCCCTCATTCTCTCCCTCTCCGCCTTGGCCACCATCTCATCATCCCCTCCGCCCCAAGGGTACAAAAACGCATTCGGCGGATCCCATCTCGGCCCAGGCACCACACCACCAAATTCCCAATCCAGAATCCCCGTCACGTTTCCCTCCCCGTCAACCATGACATTTGCAAGGTGTAGATCCCGGTGCGAGAGTACATACCGCGTATCATCCACCTCGTCCGTGTGAACCTTGACATACTCCCTATACGCCTCGAGTCTCGGCACGACATCCCTCATCCACTCGAGCGAAGGGTGCCTCTCGATAGCGTAGACGTACTTCTTGACGCTCTTCTCAAGCTGCTCGGCCCACCCCGAAAACGCACCCGCAACAGGATTCAGCGTCTCGGTCGTCTCCCCGTCCCAGCACCGCGAAATCTCAGGCTCCATCCAAAACCATTCATCCACCACGGGACCCGGTACAATCTCCCCCGTATCATCAACCCTCAACCCGCCAACATGCTTCCACACGCCACCCTTCGAACTCTCCCACACCTCCGCGAGAAAGCCGACAAGCTGCTCGACAAGCCTCCTCCGCGCACCCTCCCCCAGCTCCCAAAACACCTTATCCGCACTCACACCGTCGACCCTCTCCAGCAGCGTAAACTCGCACCCCAGCACATTCTCACAAGAAGAATCCCAGCGCAGCACGGCGGGCACGGGGACGGCGGTGCGTTGCCGGACCCAACGCATCATGGCGACTTCGTTTTCTGTCTTTATGCGCGGGAGGTGCGGGCCCGCGACGCGGAGCACGAGGGTTATGGTGCCGTCTGGGTTGGGACGTGCTGGGGTGAGGTGCGTGACGGCGGAGGGGTCGAAGTGGAGGAGGTAGATGCTGTGGAAGGCTGCCGTTACTGTTAGGGGCTCTGTGTGGGTTGGTGGCGGGAGGTTGAGGGATGTTGTGAAGGCGAGGAGGTGGGAGGGTGTGAGGAGGGGTGGGAGGTTTGCCGCGGAGTCGGCCATTTTGAGGATTTTCGTGGAGTGGCTGGGTTTTTGTGATTCTCGTGACTGTATTGTTCAGGCGGAACGATTCTAGCAGAGAGAAGCATAGAGTCGGCGTCTTGTCTTTATATCTTTCCCTCCCACTCGAAGCCTATCTCAGACCTTGCTGAAATGCGTAGATCTGCCTTCTCAAACGACCCGCAAGGGAAGGTGATGTTGATGCAAAGTAAGCGCTACCGTTCCGGCCCCACACGCCTGAGGTCTACCTAACCAGTATCGGGCCCGGCGCCGACGAGAGGGTCCACTTAACCCGGATGAGCCATCATGCATCACCCGCCCACCGGCTACGCTATGAAGAAGTCGCCCCATCGACTACAACTGCCATTTATCCGTATCACACTGAGAAATCAAAGATCAGGGACGTAAATCTATTGTTCATCCTCAACCAAATCTTCATTCATTGGCACCAGCAAGACGTCGTAACCCAGCCTACTCCCCCAGGCCCCAGCATCACCGGGTCAGATAAAATAGGCTTCGCAGAGTTACCTAACAAGTCGCTCATTTCCCTCTGAAATTATGAACTACGAAGACATAGTGGAAGAGGCAACACTCTTGAAGATATCTAAAGATGGTCGTAGGAAAGATACTCTCTTTGGGGGGGGGCGTAGATATCCCTTATTGATCGCGAAGTCGCGCAGGCCACTAGCAAACAACGATTGGCTGAGAAGGTACTAGTAAACCTTTCTGCAGCACTTCACCACCGTATATTAAACTTGCCCCGAAATAGCCGTCAAAGGACATATCGTTGAGATTCTTGTCGTTTTGGTACGCAGTGTAGCAATGCTTGCGGAACAAGAAGTTACGCGAGTGATAATGGTGAGTGATGTTAAGAACGAGACAGAAGACGCGTGCGCCTGATATGGGGAGAACACCTTGAGTGCCTATACTTACAAGTCATTGGCCTCCGCGGCCATCGTCCAACACATGTATATACCTCCCCCTCTATTCCAAAATTGGAACCCGATGATAAATATGCAACTGATGTAAACCCTAGAGTATCACATAGTCACTCATCAATACCATGTTAACCCATTCATGAACCACTTCAAGTCGATCTCAATCTAAGTTGCGCAAGTCGACCCCTCGCTGTCCACGTTGAAAACTACGTGTGCCTGGGGTATCCGAGGGAAGCAAAGCTAAGAAATCCTATCAAATAGCATACTAGAAG